GGGGGGGCGAAAAAGGGACCGTAAGACAGAAAACTAACCATTTCTTGAGCTTCGTAGGTTCTTAAGGGATTCCGGTTCAAGGGGTGTGGGGTCTCTCGTCTCTCAAATCTAAACCAACCTAAACAAACCTAATATAGCCTTAATGATTAGAATAGGGTCTTGGGCTCCTGTATAGTAGAGTGATAATAGGCAACCCTAAGGAATAATATTGGTAATGACTTAGGCACCTATGGTAGACAACAGAGATTCGCTCTGCACCTGTCAAAGCAAAGCCTGTCTTCGGGCCAACCCGGCGTCCCGGATCGCCGCAGAAACGGAAGTGGAGTTGGGTAGTTCTCTACATTAAGGTCCCTTTTCGGGTCCTCTTTATAAGGGTGCCGTACTATATTAGGGAATTAGAAGGGACCCTATTTTAGAGAACTACCCAGTTTGGGATTGGCTGGCCATTGGCGTAGTCGAGCGCCTGCTCGCTACGTGTTCGGGCCAATCCAGGGCTTCGAAAGCCACCTGCCCAGAGACTCCAATACCCCTTAATTAAGGAATATACCTTAAGCTATAGTAGGATCCCTAATATGATTTAAGGTATATTCCTTAATTAAGGGGGTATCGGAGTCTCTGGGTGTCGGGCCCAACAGCTCCGCTGAGATTGAAAACCTCGCTGCCTTGCTCGGGTCCAGGCACCCATTTTCCCGGCCAAGATTCCGGCTGACCTGCCAGACAAGTTGTCTCTATATCACAGCAGGGTGGGAGATCTCCAAGTTAAACTCAAGAGCCTAAGCCTTAAACACTCAACGGAAGAGCTTAAACTCTAAACCCCAAGCTCTAAGCCAAAGACCCTAGATCTAAACCCTAAACCCTAAACCCTCAACCCTAAAACCCTCAACCCTAAACCCTAAACCCCAGACCCTAAACCCTAAACCCTAATAGACCCTAAACTCAACGTCTGAGCATGTCTTTCTGCTCTTACCCTGGGGCCTCTGAGACTCGGCTTAGTGGCTCTGAGGCTTTCGCCTTAGGGCTTAGGGTTTAGGGTTTAGGGTTTTTAGGGTTTGGGCTTTAGGGCTTAGGGTTTAGGGTTTAGGGTTTAGGGTTTAGGGTTTAGGGTTTAGGGTTTAAGTCTTCGGGTGAGAGGTCCGGATTCAAGGTTGTTTAACGATTAAGGGTTCAGGGCTCCGAGTTTAAGGATTAAGGATTCAGGGCTCCGAGATTAAGGATTTCGGGTTTTAGGGTTTCGGGGAAAGGGTTTAGGGTTGTGGGTGAAGGGTTTATGGTTAAGGGCTAAGGGTCTAGGGTGTAGGGCATACGGTTTAGGGATTCTGCTTTGGGCTTGAAGGTTCACATTCAGTGTTTAGGGTTGAGGCTTAGGGTTTGTATGCTAGTTCTACATAGCGCTGTAAGTACCCGGTTGAAGCCAATTTGTTATTGTGTGTCTAGCTACCTGGCGTGCAATGCCACATTTCAGTACCTGCGGAGCTTCAAGTACTAGAGGCACGGTATGGTCTTAGAAAACCAACATTGCTGAGGATGTCTTGTCATGGGGCTAGACCCCAAACCCTAAACCCTATACCCTAAAAACCCTAAGCCCTAAACCCTACGCCCCTAAACCCCAAACCTTAAACCCCTAAACCCTGAACCCTAAACCCGCTACATGCCTACCCTTATCGCCTTAAGGAGGAGTCTCGGGTTCGGGAGAAGGGCAAACCCAAGAATCTTGAGGTGTTTAGCTTCCAGCAGGTAGGGTTTAGGGCTCCGAGTTTAAGGATTTAGGGTTTACGGCTTCGGGTTTGAGGTTTAGGGTTTAGGGCTCCGAGTTTAAGGATTTAGGGTTCAGGGTTTAGGGTTTGGTTTTGAGGTTTAGGGTTTAGGACTTAGGGCTTAAGGTGTAGGGCTTGGGGTTTGAGGTTTAGGGCTTAGGGTTTAGGTGTCGAGCTTTGGGACTTCGGAGCTAAACTCGGCGCCGAAATCCAAATCTTGACCCTAAACCCTAAACCCTAAACCCTAAACCCTAAACCCGAAGCCTCTGTCGCCGCCACATTGTACAGGACGTGGTACGTGACCTCGGAAATCGAAGCTGTCAGCTAAATCCGAAGGCCTGGGACCTTTATTAAACCCAAAAAAGGGTTTAGGGTTTAGGGTTTAGGGTTTAGGGTTTAGGGTTTAGGGTTTAGGGTTTAGGGATTAAATCTTTAAATCTGTAAATCCCAAGCCTTAACACGTAAATTCCCGTAGATTCTGCACGTTGGAGTCCCTACATTCCTGATACCCACTATGAACTCTGAAAAACCAACCCCACAGCAATGTAGGGGCCTTAATAATTAGAATAGGGTTTTGGGGCCCACTATGCTATAGTCATAATAAGGAACCCTTAGAAAAAAGTATTGCTAATTATTTGCGCCCCTAATAACCCTAAACCCTAAACCCTAAACCCTAAACCCTAAACCCTAAACCGTATTACTAGCCCTTATCGTAGTTCAGTTTTGAGGCTTCAAGGTTCCTTAGGAACCCCGGTAGTGGCCCTTACGAGGGCTTCTTCTGAAAGGACCCTGAAAAGAAACCCTGAAAGAACCCCAAAACCCAAAAACCCTAAACCCTAAACCCTAAACCCCTAAACCCCTAAACCCCTAAACCCCTAACCCCTAAACCCCTAAACCCCAAAAAACCCTACACCCTTAAACCCAAAACGCTAAGCCCTAACAAAACTTTAGACCCTAACAACCTTTGACCTCCTTCTGCTCAGCTGCAGCAGGGAAAACGAACTGCAGGATTTCGAAGATCCTTGTCTCAAAGGTGAGAGCCACGGCTTCGAGTCTAGGGCTTAGGGTTTAGGGTTTAGGGTTTAGGGTTTAGGGTTTAGGGTTTAGGGTTTAGGGTTTAGGGAGGGCTGCATAACGGTTCAAGAAGAGTTCTATGAAGTTTACGGGCTTTGGGTTCAGGGGCGCTCGCTTGCGGTGAAGGCGTTAGCTGTTGGAGGTTTGAGGGGTTTGGGCTGTTGGGGTTTAGGGGTTTACAGTTTTAGAGTTTTGGCGGGCCCCTAATCCCTAAACCCTAAACCCTATACCATAAGCCCTAAGCCCTAAACCTTAAGCCCTAAACCCCGAGCTCTAAAACGAAGGTTCATTCGTGAAAACTCCCAGTCTCGGGCTTTGCTGAATCTAGGGTAACTTAGCGTAGTATGGGGACTTTGTGAGTTCGGACTTAGCGATTCAAAATCAGACTCGGAACTCAAGCACTGAAAGAATCGATCCTAAATCTCCCGCCTCAAGCGCCCCTAAACCCTAAACCCTTAAACCCTGAACCCTGAACCCTAAACCCTCCCCTAAAACCCTAAACCCTAAACCCTAAAACCCTAACCCCTAAAACCCTAAACTCTAAACCCTAAAACCCTAAACCCTAAACGCTCCCGTCCCAGCAACACTGGAGGCCCTCTGAAGCTGCAAACACACGCACAAAGCCGCTGTACCGGACAAAAGAAAAGCCCGGAAAAGACATAAGGTAGGGGTTTAGGGTTTAGGGTTTCAGGGCCTTAATAATTAGAATACGGTTTTGGGGCCAATGATACTATAACTGTAATAAGGAACCCCCAAAGGAGTATTGGTAATTATTTTGGCTTCTATATTACCGTTGGGGATGGAGTAACGAGTAGTCGTATTCCATACGAGTCCCGGATATACGTCAGCCACAGTAGTCACCAAAACCCTATCCAAATTACTAAAGACACTGTGCTAAGCCCGCTTAATAACCCTGATAGAACCCTTTCAAGGAACCCTCAAAGGAATTCTATTCCAACTGGGGAATAGGAAGCCCAATGGCCCTAAAACCATAAGACCCCCAAACCCTAAACCCCAAACCCTAAACCCTAAACCCTAAACCCTACACCCTAAACCCTAAACCGTAAACCGTAAACCCTAAACCCTACCGGAGAACCTACAGCCTGTTGCAGCCCCGGTGCGTGGTGCCATCGTCCACGGCATCCGCTCCGAAGTTGATGAGCTCACCAGCCTTTCCGGGCTTGCAGGTGAGCATGCACTGAATCATGTAGAACTGATTTATCAGGATCATCTTCACAGGTCGCCATCTGCATCACTGTCACACATGTCCTCACTTTCATGCACATGTCGAAGTTCATGATCACCATGGTGGGACCCAGGAGCACCACCAGAGGAACCACCATCATGCATCTCCCCATCATGCAGGACCTCATGCATTTTCGTCGTGCAAAGCTCGGCCAGGCGCCCGATTCCGCAGGCATGCACGGCTGAGCTTAACGATCAGCACTCCCGATGGGAGCGTCGCACAGCTTCCCATGAGGTGCCTGCAGCGCGGCGCACGTCCGGGTAGGTAGTTCCGCTGCGGAAGAGCAGCTGGTCTGAGTGGAGGCCCGGTGTTACCCGCACCTCCACTTCCACCTCGGAAGCGGAAGATGCCTCGAATGACCACGGCTCGAGGCCCTGGAGTTGTCTTTCTAGTCTCCACTGTTCGCGGAGTCGCGCCCGGCAAAGCCTTCTGCGAGCCGTGACTCCATCCCGATGAGTCTGAGGGATCTATGGGTTATAAGTTTAGGGCTCAGGCTTACGAGTTTAGGGTCCAGGGTTCACTGTCTTTGGGACCTGGAGACTCCCAAACCCCGATTCGAAGTATATTACATCCTTCATAAGTCTGAAATTTCATAACGGGTGAGGGTTTAGGGTTTATGGTTAAGGCTTTATGGCGATGAAGAACAAACTGTTGAGGCTTTACGCGGCCAATTTGTCGAATCAGTGCTGGGACCGGTCGAGCTCGACTTTTTTCCTATACTTCTGCTTCTACTTGTACTTCTACTTCTGCTACAGTTTCCACTACCATTACTGCTACTACTACTACTACTACTACTACTACTACTATTACTGCGATAAGAACTACTAGAACTTCTACTAGAACTGCTACTACCACCACCACCACCACGACTACTACTACTACTACTACTACTACTACTACTACTACTCCCTTCCCCCTAGTATGAAACAGAAAGGAGGGGGCTCCCCCGAATAAAGGGTGTGTTTTTTGAGTTGCTTTATTAGGGGGTATTTGTATATCTGTATATCTAATATCTACTATCACGTTTGAAGGAACTCGCTCCTGCGCTTGCCTTTGCTCTTGTTTTTTCTTCTGCTCTTCCTCTTGCTTTCGCTCTTTCTCTTGCTCTTGCGTTTGCTCTTGCTCTTACTCGTGCTCTTGCTTTTGCTCTTGCTCTTGCTCCTGCTCTTGCTCTTACTCCTGCTCTTGCTCCGGACCCCCTAATGCAAATTAGGTTTTAAAGGGCAGGGATGATTTCCGGAGGATAGACCCCAAAGTGTCTTTAAGTTTGATGAATGGGGCACGGGATTATTGCTACTACTACTGCTGCTGCTGCTGCTGCTGCTGCTGCTGCTGCTGCCACTACAACAACTACAACCACCACCGCCACAGCCACCACCACTACCACTACTGCTGCCGACTACGACGAGGACCACCACCAACAACAAACACCTCCACCTACTGCTACTACTGTGAAGACCTTGAAGACTGTGAAAATGCCATCGGCGACAAAGTCGTTCTTATATGTTCTTACCTCGGGCATAATTCGCCAATACTTCAACTACAGACGGCTGCTTAAGCTCATGATTTATGGTCTATAGCAAGCCCTAACCCCGAACCCCCAAAGACCCCCAAAACCCCTAAACCCTAGACCCTACGCTGCATGCCCTGAACCCCTATAAACCCTAAACGCCGTACTTGGAGAGTTATGGGACTTAGTACGTAGGTACTAAGTTTAGTAATAACCACCCTGCCAGGGGTCCTAATTGGAGTTATGATACTTACAGGCCTACAGAATAAGTACTTACGAAGTCCCCCTAAACCCTAAACTTTCCTAAACCCTAAACCGTAAACCCCATAAAACACACTACTTACTAAGTCCCCCGACCCTCCAAGTAGGAGGCTTTAAACCCTAAGCCCTAAAGGCCCTAAAGGCCCTAAAGGCCCTAAAGGCCCTAAAGGCCCTAAAGGCCCTAAAGGGTCCAAAGGCCCTAAAGGCCCTAACGGCCCTAAAGGCCCTAAGGGCCCTAAAGGCCCTAAAGGCCCTAAAGGCCCTAAGCCCTAAACCCTAAACCCTTTACCCTTTAAACCCCAAACCCTAAACCCTAAAGGCCTTAAAGGCCCTAAAGGCCCTAAGCCCTAAACCCTAAATCCTTTACCCTTTAAACCCCAAACCCTAAACCCTCTTTGGGTCTCATCTTCGCCTGCCTGGGCCCCGCAGATGTGCACGCCGAGCACCCGGCCCTGAGGTCGATCCTGGGCTGGAGCGACCCAGGGAGCCCACTACCCCTTAAGTAAGGAACATACCTTGAATCATAATACAAAGGCCCCTATAGTTTAAGGTATATTCCTTTTTTTAAGTTGAGGATTAAGGAATATACCTTAAAATTACAAGATTAAGGCCCCTGTAGTTTAAGGTATATTCCCTTTTTTAAGGGGTCTGGGAAGGGGCTGAGGGTTTAGGGGCTTAGCGTTTAGGGTGTTAAGGTTCAGGGTTCAATAAGAGCAACGAAGGCGCAGATTTTCGGGTTTTAGGGTTTGGGGGTTTGTGGCTTAGGGTTTAAGGGTTCAGGGTTTAGGGTTTGGGCTTCAGGGTTAGGGTTTAGGGGTTTAGGGTTCAGGACAAGAAAGGAAAGCAAAAAAACGCACTCACAGTATTAGTAATACTGACATCAATCAATGACAACAAACTTTGATACTAATCCCTAATCCCTAAACCCTAAACCCTAAACCCTAAACCCTAAACGTCAGTGTACCACTGATTCGTTGTAATAGGAAGCAGTCCTGCATCCGAAGCCTGGAGCTTATAGCCAGCTCGTTTAGGGTTTAGGGGTTTAGGGTTTTAGGGTTTAGGGTTTAGGGTTTCGGGTTTCGGGCTTAGGGTTTAGGGTTCAGGGTTTAGGGTTTAGGGTTTTCAGAGCAAGCTCTGAGCACATGTGAGACATCAGTCAGCACATACCATGCCCTACTGGCCCTACTATGGCCCACCCACCCTACCGGCTACCCTACCATACCATGCCATACAGACGGGTAGAACCACAAAGAAGCAGAAATAGATCGATAGACAGGTCGGAGCACAAAATACGGATTCCGAACCTATCCTTCGGGGCTCAGGTGGTGAGAGTTTCAAAAGGGGTGGCCTTGGCATCATGCAGGCTTTGGAAACGCATCGAGAGTTGCAGAATTGGTAACACCCCGGCCGTGAAGACTGGCACAGCGGGAAGAGGAGCATGAGGATTTAGCGTTTAGGCTTTGAGGGCTTGAAGGCTCATGGTTCAAGGTCCAGGGTTTAGGGCTTTAGGGCTTACGGCTTAAGGTTTGGGGCTGTAGGACCAATCGTAGCAACCGTAGCAGAAGCAGCGTCAGTTGCTCTGTGAATCCTAAACTCTAAACCCTGCACCCCACTTTCCCGCAGCTCTTCGCCCTTGCCTTAACCCTAAACCTTAAATTCCTGAAGCCCGAAAGCCGGACACTCCGAAACCCCAAACCCTAAGGTAGGGGCCCTAATAATTGGAATAAGGTTTTGGGGTTCCATACAGTATAGCTACAATAAGGAACCTTAACAGTAAAAACCTGGTAATTACTTAGGCTTCTGTATTAAACCCCTTAACCCTGAGACCCTCCACCCCTTCAGGCCTTCAGACCCTGGAACCCCAACCCTAAGCCCCACAGCCCGAAAACCCGAAACCTGAAAGCCTAAACCCTAAACCCTTTAATATAGGAGCCTTAATAATTCGAATAGGGTTTTGGGATATATTGTACTATCATTATACTAAGGAGCCCCCGAAATTATAGAGGTAATTATTCAGGCCCCTATTCTTACTTCTGGCCAAGAAGCATAGATCATCTTCAGGAAACCTTTCTCGCCGCTCACAATGCCCCTCACCGCGCGGCTGTACCTCGCGCGCACACTGCCGCAAGCTGTGGCCGGAGGGTTCGTTTGAATCGTTCCTGTAGTGTCTCGTTTTAGGGCTTCCTAATGTAAGGCTGCATAGTTTTAAGGGTCCCTGTGAGGGTTCTTTTAAGGCTTCCTTTAGCGGTTCCTTTGAGGGTTTGGAGTCCAGGGATCTTCTTAAGTACTCCACCTCGAAGCCTAAACCTACGAGTTTACAACCACAGCTAGTCTAGACCTCAGGATTTTTAGCGGCTTCAAAACAATCTGGGTTTAGGGTTTAGGAGTATGAGCATTTCCACAAACCAAAACTATGGATTACGATGATGTGATTTGAAGTTGCCCTTGCAGTTACGAGCAGAAGCATACTATGCACGATCCATCATATGCCTCCCTTCTTGTAATTTTAATTCAACCTGGCCTACGATTCAAAACCTCCCGGACTACATAAATCCCTAAACCCTAAACCCTCAACCCTAAACCCTGAACCCTAGAGCCCAAGACACCTCCGAAGCCAAACCAATCTAGTCTGAGCCTCCACCCGAACGGGTTTAAGGTTTAGGGTTAAGGCTTCAGGGGTTTAGGGCCTCGGGTTTGGGGTTCAGGGTGTTGTAAGTAGCCGGGTCCGAAGCGCATACATACGCGCATATACATACATACATACATACATACATACATACATACATACATACATACATACATACATACATATATGTATGTATGTATGTATGTATATATGTATATATGTGCATGTATGTATGTGTAGATATGTGTATATATATATACACACACACATATCTTATTTCGTTTTGCTTGATTATGTACGCATGTAAAATTTTTCTCCCTGCAACCTAGGCTCTGAAGCTCTCAAGCACCCCAGCCCTTAGAAATTAGGGTTTAGGGGTTTAGGGTTTAGGGTTACTTTTCCAAGAACTCCTGCACGACGGTCTCAGGTCTTTTCGTCTTTGATGTTCCCCAACGTTTCAGGTGCAAGCCTCAGCAGTGCTCTTTTCAGGAATCCTGGCACCCCAATAATACAGATTCACGTTATAAACCCTGAAACCCCAAACCCCAAACCCTCAACCTTAAACCCCAAACCCTAAACCCTAAACCCTAAACCCCTAAACTCTAAACCCTAAACCCTACACCCTTAAATCGCTAAGCTAACACCGTCAACTCGAGGCTTGTCGAATGACTTTGACTTACTTCGCCAATGAGCCAGGGAAATAAACTTTCAGATTGCTACTAAACTATAAGACCCCTAAACCCTAAACCCTAAACCCTCAACCCTAAACCCTAAACCCTAAACCCTAAACCCTAAACTATAAGAACCCAAAAAGTTTAAAGGTTGGGTATTGAGGAGCTAAGTTGAGCCTAGCGGCTCCACGCGCACGAGGCCAAAGTTCAGGCCTTTGGCCTCTGCCTGTCTGACCCCAAAACCGGTTTAGGGTTTAGG